GACCATATATGGTCATGTAAACTCATTAATATGCAAAGCAGTCATATCTAAAACACTGTCGCAGAGCAGGACATGTAACTAGTGTCATTATGAAGACATTGAATGAAAGATGCAACTAACATTAGAATTGGCTATATATGATTATGTAATCTCATTATTGTGCATAAGAACATGGCTCATTATATATCCTGAAAACCATATTTCGATAACCAAACCAGGTAAATACATGGTACCAACTTCATTTCGACCTCATGTTACTGATAATACAAGTTACTCGTATCTGATTGTCTAACATGTTGACCTCATTAATTATGAAACAGAATCTTATCAGCTTGGGCCCCGGTGACGCCGCTTGCGGCTTTAATATTTATTCTGTTGTTGTGCCCATGATTATATACTGTTACCTACACCAGTAATGCTGATTGTACTAGCTTTATTGCGTAGTTTTGTTCTAACGGTATAGAATCAGATTTGGTATTAGTTAACCTTTCCATTACTGATTCATTCAAACACAATAACAGTTTCCCTACTAAATATTATGCAATGTTGAGTCCTTGTTGGTCATTCGGTATTAATTGGCAGTATCATTGCAATATGAGACATTACACTGAATTTCCAGGATAGCTTGTGTTAATCAGACATTTTATCTGTTGGATTTTGTGATGTTTTCATTTAATAATATTTTAGCAAAGACGTAATTTATGACCCCTTCTTTTAAGAAGCTTATATGTTGGTGTTTTTATAATTATGTAATATTCATATACTTACAGTGGTGCCAAACTGTGGATTGGATTACGTAAACCACACGGTAACGGGAGACCACTCTGGGTAGAAACAACCATACCATACAAAGAGAACAAAGCATATCCCTGGGCGCGATCACCATCTAGCGACGCTGAGTGTGTAATGGGTGTAGGTAACAATGAACATGTCTTTGAATGGCAGTTTTCGGATTGCCGAAATGCTGAATCCTTTCTCTGTGAAGTTACAGAATCAGGTAAGACAGAATAATTGTTCATAAATTGCCTGTACGTATAATAACTCCATGCATATGTCACAGCTGGTGAGCAAGTACATGCCCCAGACATCAGTCACTACAGGATAGGTTACTTGTGATGTCAAAGATTGGTGTTGTGCATCTAGTCACTTTGGTTCTGTGTGCACGCACATTATTTCATTCAGTCTTCTTTGGGATAGCTAGAATAATGCAGATACGTTTCTCGTTTCTTTCAGTAGTGCGGCGCCTTGTCATATATTCAACTATTTATATCAAAAAGCATGCATATACGTAAGAAACTGTTAATGAAATACATATTGTGATTTTTTACAGACGATGCGTTACATATAGTAAAAAGAAAAACCAATAAAGCCAAATCTACTAGACGGACCCATAGAAACCCATCCGTTGATAATATTCTACGAATCAATCGCGATTTGAGTGAGTAAATAATGAGTATTCTTTATGGAACTACATATAATAATGAATGGAGTATAGGTAAATTTGATGGAGACATTTGATTTCAAAATATTCTCATTCTGATAGTTATTAATTTCAATTGCTGACCAAAAATGTCTTACAAGCGTTTATTTCGCATCTAATCAATATATATAACGTGCAATCAACTAAAAACGAATACATCAGATTATTAATAAATTCAGATCAGGACAATTTTTGAGACAACTGCCTGATAGAGTGAGATATCGGACGCAGATTCAATGTAACAATGGAAGCAACGTAACCAGCATTTGAAAGACACAATAATTAAAATCATGCAATCAAAAAAACGCGGATGTATATTATAGGTTGTAACATCTTTTTTTTTACAGATTTATTTCAAGGAGATATAAAGCTGACAGAAGAACAAGAAAGAAGACATAGTGCAGGAATGCCCATCTTGTCCAATCATGAGTAACTATAATTTATAATGTTCCGTGCACACTACAGATACATAACATGTGACAGAATGGCTAATATGTGTTTGCAGAGAATGCGTCTGTGAGTTTGAAGTCTACACAACACAATCTAATACAATTTATTCTGCTTTCAGAAAAAGAGGCATCACAACTAATGACTACTTGTATTGGCCTGGTAATGTTGTTCATTACGTATTTGATGAAGAAACTACCAGTGAAGGCAGCCCAATTAGTGAGTAGCTACAGGAAAATTGACTTATAGATATACCACGCAAGATATATAGTTCTGAGCCTTGCCTAGATACAAATAACATAAACATCATCATGTATGTACACAATAAAAAAATGGTGAATTGTCCGAGAAATGGACATGGACATATAGAAATAAAACGTGGTCACCGTTCAGCCATTTTGAATCAAGCTAACGTAACTCTTTGTGTGTTATGTTCAAACCGACTTTGAATAAAAACGTTGAGGACATTTGCTGATTTTATGTTTGACAAAAACTTGCACGAGTTGATTAAATATCATTAAAATCCAAAAAATAATTAAACAAAATATTTAAACCAAAACAATGTACTAGTATCTCGAAAACAGATTTGACGACTCTCTTGTGGGCGTATCAACCACGTCCATAGCAAACAACGGATATTTTCAACGAACATTCTGACTTTGAACAACCATCCATTTTCTGATAGCCCCTAGTAACCTTAACCTTTGTTATGTTTGTCCTTTATTACTTCAAAAGATCGGTGGTGTTGATTTTTACTGAAGGCAAATGCCACTGTAACGATAATTATTATCATTTCCACCACGTGAATTGAACTTTATAATTGATGAATAATATATATGTTATAAAGAATCGTAAAATCCATGGTGTAATTCAATTTAAAATTTTTATTTGCACAGGCGAATTCGGGAGAGGAATCATACGGGATGCATTGGACGACCTTGAAGCAGAAACATGTTTAACATTCACAGAAGGCGTGGCAGACAATTATATAAGTATGTTCAATGGCGGCGGGTAAGATAATTATTTGGTATCATAACAATTCGACTTGGTTAATCGGTAGAATCGAGTGGTATATATCGCTTTTACATGATAAAATTAGCTGAGGGTGTGGAAATAATAGCTTTGTATCGTTAATCTTATGAAAGATGTTGGTCATATATTGGGAAAATTGGTGGAAAGCAGGAGTTGTCACTTTACGACGGAAACAGCGGGTCGTGCTGGTGGGAAGGAATTATACAACACGAAGTTCTTCACGCCTTGGGATTTTTCCACGAACAATCGCGTTACGATCGAGATGACTACATTGAAATCAAATGGGACAATATAAAGTCTGGTACGTAACCATCCCGCAATACACATATGTACACATGAGCAATATCCTGATTCAGAATTAATTATGTGATATGTGCTTCACTAACAGGGACTGAGGGCAACTTTGCTAAGGAGTATAACATGAATCTCCAATCCACTATGTACGATTATGGTTCACTTATGCATTATGGTCTATACGACTTCGCCATAGATCCTGCATTACCAACGATGGTTATGCTTCAGGACTATGACGGAGAAGTTGGTCAAATTAATGGTCTTAGTCTGACTGACATAGTGGAGGTTAATGGCATATACAGCTGTTATGAAGGTATGTCTGTTAAATTACCAGCAACATTACATTCTAATATGAATACGACAAAGCACATTGTTATTGTCATTGCTTTGGATTTGACAATAAGAGCCACATGACTGTACAACAAAAGGAATGATTTTTATTTCACCGTCATAAATTATTTTATCTCATAGCTATATCCCTTACTTTCCTATACTTGTCCCTGCTCATTGAATATGATATTTCCATTTTGTATAATAGTGTGACATGGTGAGTAGCACATATGTTTACAGCGATTGCAAGATCAATATATGGATGCCCCTTTGCAAGTTTAATGTTTAAGCAACAGTAACATTGTGTTTTACTTGTTCAGGACCAGGATGGTCAGAATGGAGTGCCTGGTCAGACTGTACACAAACATGTGGAGGCGGATCTCAAGATAGGTACAGAACGTGCGGGGATGAGTCATGTGAGGGTTCTAACATAGACACCCGTACATGTATGATAGTTGGTTGTCCACAGTTTACCGGTAAGTAACGCTCAAAGACAATATTTTTGAAATTTTGCGTCATAAATAAGCCAGTATTTTTATAGCTTATTGCACTTAATTTTCGAATTTCGTGCAGAACTGTTGATAGAACGCATTTAATGCTCTTAATTTGAAGATGGACACACAAAAAAGTTCTTAACCCATCCATAGTTTGGCTTCGGTGATATAATACAACTGTATGATCGAACACGTGTAACGACATTTTTTAGGTTACATATATGACGGATGCTGGATACTCCCAGAATCACTACCATCATTGGAAGGCACAGGTAACCCTCATCTAGATGGAGAATATGCAACACGAACCGACAAGGCCTTGGTATGTACGCAATATTCTGTATGTCTTTCAAATCTAGGATGCAATTTGTAGTTATACAGACTTGTTTATGGTCTGCATAATGTATTGTTGTTTAATAGAAATGTGCTAGTGCTGCTACACACGTGGAAGAACTATATTTCGCGCTTGGTGATGGTGGAGCATGTTATGCCTTTTCCGACTACGGACTGCTCACATCCGCTGGCTCGTCCGATGAGTGTGTTGAAGGACTTGGAACCGAAAACTCTATCGACGTCTATCAATTACAAAGTATGTCATATAATGAAATTATTATGATAACTTGTACAATAATACCATATGTTATTTTGACACAAACTATAATGTACTTTTTTTCGAATAGTATTCACAATGTCAGAAAATGTAGGGGTGCATGGTCATATGCATATGACACATGCTGTGATGCATCGACAAAACAAATTTAAATATATGTTATGAGGTTATGTTTGTGCATATTTAATTACTTTTCTTTGAAATTGCGTCTTTATCGCAAACTAATGCTTTAACTGTGAACATTCTATGGATGTGAAAGTGAGGAGAAGTTTGCTCGCATTAAATTTTATTTTTTGCAAGTATTTCATCAATCGAATACTACTATGTATGCTACATTTTCACAGCCTCACTGATTTAAATCAATTGTACGTTGCAGCTTTCACTTGTCCTTTCGGGAACCCTTACGAGTTCGAAGGTGATATGGTATTTTGTGAAGTTCCCGATGGAGGGCCCGTTGTACCGTTCCTTGATTCCTGTCCTGGTGGGTATTCCTGCACGCATGTGAGTGGTGACACCGATGACCCAATATCGGTATGCTGCCCCATACGTAAGTAATTTGTATCGAATTCTCAGCAATTGTTTGTGTGTGTTCGATACCTCGATAATAATGCTAATAACACGTTTTGAATTATACAATTTGTTTCTAAACCTGGTCAATTGTTCTCAAATTCATTGCGTTTGAATTTTGGAAATGCATAATTTACTGCGAGAATGAATTGAACAGATATCTTACCTAATAAGTATACAGGTAGGGACAAATGGGTAAAATATCTAAAAAATACTTATCGACAATCATGGACCAATGAATACTCTAAATTGTCGCCAATGTTTCTTGCACATCGCATTCACAAAAGCTCTTTCCAGCACCTTAGTATTGTCCAAAAATTATACAAATAATTAAAAACATATCCCAGTCTTGAAACCTGATCGTATGATCGCCGGGATGATGTGTTATTTTGGACAGTAATATGTCTAATATATAATAATAATTTCCTGAAACATACTTATGCTTATATTTTATGCACAGGTTACTGTGGAGACGTTTGCGGTGGAGTAATTGAAGAGCGTTTATGTTACTGTGATAACTTATGCCACTCATGGGGGGATTGTTGTCCTGAGTATATAGATGATTGTGCAGGTAAAATGTTTTGTTCGTTAATCAGACTTGAGATCATCACGCATTATACAATGCTAATACTAATTCAAATGCGTACTGTTCACCTATTGACTTTTCCGATTGAAAATTTGAGGTTATTATACAATCCATATATTTGATATGTAGATCACAGGAAACCCAGAAAAGACGAACGAAGGTGATAGCACATACGAACTGGAGATATTAAGTTAAATAGCATTACAGTACTTTCAATGAAGATTTGAAAATCGTGGAAATAGATTTAGAATAATTCTTTACATGATGATATTTTTCAAAAATTGATTCCCGTGTTTACTTTCGGGTTACCAGGTCTTGCCAGCATCAACTGTCTGCCCAAACGGCCCACTTTATCCCATCCACTCACACACACACACACACACGCACACTCACACACACACACAGAGCTACACGTATATTCTTCTTTAGTTTTGCTACCAGTATTTAATTTCTGTCATACTATCTCTCTTCCCTGGAAACCCCATGCGAGAGCAGGAATATTTTATTTTATTTCCCTGGGCTACTCCTATCAATAAGTGTGCTAATTATATATCAGCATATGCATAGTTGGTATCACAGAACAATAGAGGACGGCAGAGCAGATATAATGTTTCTTTCATTGCGTGATCCCACGTTATGTTTACTTCATTTTCATGTAATACACTTAATAATGTAATAATAATAAACACTTTTGATGATAGCCATTTTTTGATAAAGTAAAGATATCCCAAAGCCATATTCCTCTCTGAACGATCAGCATTTCGACAGTGAGCTATGAAAACTAGAGCAACATTACATAGTATTTCAAGTTAAAACGACTGTCATTATAACTTCTGTTTCAAATCCGTTTCACCTTCAAGAAACCGCAAACTGCTATGGCTCTGGTGATCCTCACTACAAAACATTCGATGGCACCTACTATGATTACCAAGGTGAATGTGAATACATTTTGATGACCGATGGATGTAACGATCAATCAAAATTTGCGGTGATCGTGGACAACGATTTAACTTCGCCTGGGTCAACTGTGACGTACACTAAACAAGCACGAATTGAAGTTTATGATATGGTAAGTCGCTGTACGAAATAATAAAACAATGCTTTTCGACATCCTCTTAATAAATTCTGATTGTTGTGTAGTATATCTTGCGCGTTGTCGCATACGACTTGTTTACCACTTCCGTGTGACTGAGAATGTTCTAGAACTGTACTGTGTCTGGGTGGAATTTTTAGAAACTGGTTGAATAGGTAATAGAACACTGTAGGAGGCAATAGAAGGTAATGGAACATTCTAGAAATTTGTAGTAAGTTCCAGACTCATTATGTATTCTGATGTAATGGTCTATTTATAGACAGTGAGGGTATATATAGGGGAGTTGTTCAGCACTGAGATCAGATCGGAGATCTCGTTGAATTGTATTGGAGTTTAAGTATCTAGTTATTGGAGTAGTGGAGTTTTACAGCGTTATTGTACTTGATGTTTGCAGAGTATAATAATACCAGTACCAGTTGCCATTTTGGTATTTGAACCATCACACCTGTACTATACCAATTACGGTAATATTACGTTGCGTGTGACACGCGTGTACTATATAAGGTAACTGTATTATTGCAATAGCTCTGAAAAAATCAGGGTACAGTTTTTGAAAATTGTTCCGATATTGTCAACATTCATCATCCATACAATTTACTACATTGCGAAAATGATGTGTTTGTTTGACATTTGTGACAGTGAATGAATATAGAATGCCGGTTCATCGACACTCAGATCACTGGAGGAAATTGTTTTGACCGTTTGATTGACAATTGTAGCAATATATAAGGTGTGTTTTCATCTCGCAAAGCGCATCTTAGTATTTCATATGATTTGATTTGTTGGAATCACTTTTAATAATGTGTCTATACCTCTCACATAAACAGACCGATTTATGTTTGTAAAATAATGTAGATAAAATGTCGCGTTACATCAAGAGTTGTTCAAGACTATCGGCATGAAAGTTTTGATGCGTGGATTTATTTATAACGCACTGGTGACATGGACGTTGTCGACATTGTAAACGCCTATTGGAAGCGTGGGAGGTTACTGGTACAACTTACCTGCGCGGCAATCATAGGGGTCTTTAAGTTATGCAAGTTTCAAAATGGGCAAAGGATTTTGGCATTTTCAAGAAATAAATGGGTCATAATTTTGCTGTGTTTATATATTGTGTAATATGTGGCAATAATACGTCCATTTTATCATGATTTATAACTAGTGCATTTGTAAGAAGATGCGGTTCTCGCTTGTAAATTTGTTTCAAGAAGTTTTTTTTTCTTGTTTTCGAATTGATCTCCCGGACCTTGGTTTTCATCAAAAGTTGGTACCTCGCATACACGTATATACATATTACAAATAATTCGTGGGCTAAACACGTTTCGGAATTTAATAGAAATGTATATGTCATATGTAAGTTATTAAATGTTTTTTCCTGAACACTTGACTGAGTAGTTATATTGTCAAAATATTCATTGAAACAGTGGCAAGTTTTCAAGTCACATTGCGTACTGTCACATTGTACTGCGAAAAATAAAATATACTTAGACGCGATTTAAATCTTCAAATCTGAACCTTTATTACATTTTTACAGTGGTATGTATAAACTCAAATAATGTTGTGTTAATATTGTATTCTATGAAAATAAATAGTCGATTGTTTTTATTTCAAAATCAGACCACCAAACCTTAAAACGGGTCAGTCGGGGTGCAAAGGATAGAAATGTTGACATCAAGAGTTATACGACTTGGAAATCGCTTAATTTGAAGTACACAGTTGTATAGAAAAACATCGGGTCACATTGGGAAACAGTATTTTGAAATGTTTGGTTTATGAATTAAGTTTATTTACACTATCTAGCGGTTCTATTTTCATGACAATCACGTGACTGATATTTTCATTTAGAATACTGCAATAACGCATGATATTTTCGCTCCCATAAATCAGTGATTAACACATTTGCATGTTTCATGACCCGGCATGGCCTTTTAAAACAACAATATTCATTGTTTCAGTATTTATGTACTGCCTTGCAAATGTTATTATTTATTTGTTTAATTGTTTTGTTGTACCAGTTAACTACGTAGTGAGCTTTATAAACACAATATAATATACCTATATGTATATCACAGGTAATAGAGTTACTTCCATTAAAAGAAGTGAAGATTGATGGTACCACGGTCTATCCACCAATCACGATGAATTACTTAACCATAAAAGACGTTGGTTTGTATCTGGTAAGTCACCAAATATAATGACATCACATCATTTGAATATAATTTTGTGTCACAAAAATGTAATAATTCTATGTATTATTTTAGGTGGTTAATATTGGTTACGGTTTTCGTGTTTCTTGGGATGGATGGTCTGTGATACGAGTTGACCTGGTTTCTGACTATCTTGAAAAAGTGTGCGGTCTCTGTGGTTGGTTTAATAACAATCCAGATGTTGACTTCGTCACGTCTGCTATGGAGCTGGTAATGTTATAGTTTAATATTTGACGTTTTATCAGCGAACGATGATATCATTGTTATGTGATTCGCTACAAAAGACACATATTTCAAGCACTAGTTCAAATTTCGGATTTAAATGAGTAGTATCTCTCATGGATGCACGTAGCGTAACATTTTGTAACACAAGATACGTGAACACTGCACGCAAAACGTGCAGCAGCGGACAGTTAATATTACGCCATTTCAGTCCTTTCTATCTCATCCGAATTTATCTGTTGCACCACGAATTTATTCAAACAATTGCCCTAGTCCAAATTACATTCAATCTCATTTAACTCGATTGGTTAAATTTATATTTATTCTAATAGACATCTGACGTTTACGTGTTCGGCAACAGCTGGGAAACTATTGAAGAGTGTATACCAGAGGAAGGCGGAAGCGACAGTTACAGTGATGTCACGGATACAACTCGAAGATTTGTAGATGTTGGTCCCTGCGACTTAAACTCGCAAAATGCAGATCAGGCACTTGACATATGTACATCACTGATAGGTAAACACTTCTCATCTGAGTAAAATAAAATCGTTGCACCACGTCTTCTATAACTTTTATTTAACTGTACTAATCACAGGCAACGACTCACGTATTATATATGTATGCAACATGTGATTATTTTTTTACTAATATCCCAGGAGCCTTACCAGAGTGTGCCGGTACACTGCCTCCAGAAGTGTTCATTGACGCATGTAAGATGGATCTATGCGACTCACTTCCAGGAGACGAAGCCGGTGGTTGTGCCGTATTGGCAAGTTATGTTGCACTGTGCCAGAATGAAGGAATTGTGATAAGCGATTGGCGATATAATACTGCATGCGGTAAGGCGAACAAATTTTCAATCTGATGAAAGATAGTTCCATGCAATATTGGGGATGGATGATGCTAATTTCCATTCAGTATAGGAGATGAACGATGCTAATTTTAATACAGTATAGGAGATGGATTATGCTAATTTCCATACAGTATAGGGGATGGATAATGCTAATTTTAATACAGTATAGGGAATGGACGATGCTAAATTCCATGCAATATATGGGATGAAGGATGCTAATTTCTTTACAGTACAGGAGATGGATTATGCTATTTTTAATACAGTATGGAGGATGGACGATGTTAAATTCCATACGGTATAGGGGATGGACGACGCTAAATTCCATACATTACAGGGAATGAACGATGCTAATTTCCATACACTATAGGGGATGAACAATGCTAATTTTAATACAGTATAGGAGATGGATTATGCTAATTTCCATACAGTATAGGGGATGGACGATGCTAAATTCCATACATTATAGAGTATAGAAGATTAATGATGCTTGATGGTTTTTACACAGTATAAGGAATGGACAATGTTTAATTCCATACAATATATAGGATGGGTGATGCTAATTTCTATGATTTCATAACAAGTAACAATAGTTTGAGGTCTCTATTATAATAATCTCAATTTGTATTGATTTGTGAACTTGCACATTTAGTACAACATAATAATAATTTTTTTGCACAATTGTTTTCTAGAAATTGACTGTCCGGTGAACATGATATACAAAACATGTGGTCCGGCGTGCCCTGCAACCTGCGATGAACCAAACCCTGTCGGAGAATGTACAACGCAATGTGTAGAGGGGTGCTTCTGTGAAGATGGGCTAATCTTCGACACAGGGGGTATTTGTATTCCACAATCCAGTTGTGGATGTTACAAGAAGGAAACACGATATTTGGTGAGGGGATTCGTTTGTATAGCTTTGTCTGTATACACATCTCGTTCAACATTCAGTTTACACATGTCTTGTTTATGATATGCCCTGTATACCAAGTGTGTGCACACAAGCAGGATATTTTAAATCAACCCCTAAATGTGAATAATCATTGATCATTGATCCATGTTTTTCTTTAATAGTTTGGTGAACAATTACCCAATGGTGATACGTGTAATTGCGAATGTAAGTAAAACACTGGTATACCCCAATAATTTCTCGATAATAGTGATTACATATTTATCCTGTATATCATGTCAGTTCGGTGTCATAATTTTAAGCAGCGTAATAATTTTCAATATTCCCATACTATGCATGATCCTTCTGACTGATTAGCTATAGCTGACTATTAATAATAATATCTCAAATTATTGGTGGTTTTGAGTAATATTCTATGAATATATGTATTTGAATATTTCGGATAGTTTCATAGGTCGTGTGTGAAATATGTATGAATTCTTCCTACCTCAATTTCTCCGCGCATATAAATTTGTTTCATCCATGTCCAATGTTCGACTTATCACGGATTGTAAATTGGTCATATTTTGATTTAGTCTGGTTATATTACCAAGGCAATGATTGATTGAATCCCCTGGGTTGAAGCAGATCTAGTGCTTTCCATTGATACGCGGCGGCAGATTACCAACCTTGAAAATTGGCTTCATCTCACATTTTGCAATTGCGTGATTGTGTGACGTCAGCATTTTTTGGTCGATTTTCGCATTTCAGTTTTTTGTCATCTCGGAAGATATAATGTTGCCGGGCCAGTGGTGGTGTGAAATCAAAATGTAGCATATTGTTACGGTAGTAAACAAGAGACGTTTCCAAACTTGTATCATGTCTTATACACATGGGAAGGCAACAATATCTCGATGTTTGATAAATGATTTATATAAATTTATGTCATAAGCCACCGTGGTTTTACAAATGAGCCTTAACAGATTTAATAAATTTGTTGGTAATTTCCATTCGTTTCTCATCATAAAATCGGAAAAAATGAAAACTTTCATAAATTTAATATTGTAGGGTCACTTATGGCACATTTAATATATATTTCCTTTCTGTTTCTCGCACTGAAAACAATTATTATTTTGTCCTTAAATTACTGTCACACGCAACGTAATATTACCGTAATTGGTATAGTACAGGTGTGATGGTTCAAATACCAAAATGGCAACAGTAACAGAAAGACTTCCCTGGCGGCGATGATAAAATACGAACACAGAGCCAACAGATGAGGTTTCAACTGGTACTGGTATTATTATACTCTGCAAACATCAAGTACAATAACGCGGTAAAACTCCACTACTCCAATAACTAGATACTTAAACTCCAATACAATTCAACGAGATCTCCGATCTGACCTCAGTGCTGAACAACTCCCCTATATATACTACCACTGTCTATAAATAGACCATTACATCAGCATACATAATGAATCTGGAACTTACTACAAATTCTAGAATGTTCCATTACCTTCTATTGCCTCATACAGTGTTCTATTACCTATTCAACCAGTTTCTAAAAAAAATCTAGAATATTCCATCCAGACACTGTACGGTTCTAGAACATTCTCAGTGACACGGAAGTGGTTAATAAGTCGTATGCGGCAATTACATTATGTTTGGCCCGAATATAGCCATAAGATTACATTTAATTCTTTCCATAAATAAACTGAATGACTGAGTAAATGAGATCATAGAACATAGACCATACAACACAGGCACTAGGGGGAATGAGGACAACAATCAGACATTTTCAGATATTAGCGCTATTACGCCGTGATTTTTGAGTCGGTTAGTTATTTCAGTGCTTTAACAATTATAAATACGTTTGTAGTTATTTTAGTTCTTGTTATGACGTAATGTTTAGTCATTGAAACAAACACTGTTATTACTGCCTAAAATGTTGCGTTCATTATCTGCGCGTTCCATACTTCATACACGCACTTCGTTCACACTTCCGTCATACCCTGATACCAGGGTCGATAGTCGGTTTCATACCTTCAGACGTAAACGATTTATTATGTGTAGTACGACACGTTGACAGTCGCCGTGTCCATTCACGCATTCATGATGACAATTAGAGTTCAAGTCCAATATACCGGGGAGCGGTATGTACCCTAAGAAATGCATTAAATTTAGCAGCAACACATACTTTACGTGCAATATGTCGTGACATCTATATCGTATTAGATCAGATGTAGTGATGATGATGTATGGCTTATGTGCACTTGGCTTTGAAATGTACCTTGTGAATTTCTTCCCTGCTTGTGATTGCGGTATAGAACACACTCAGTGTATTAAGTTGCAGTTCGCGTTATCTCCAAGTTGGAGGGTAATATTACACATTTACAAGGCAATATTTCTACTGGTCATACAGTGCAACTACAACAGCCCATGAAATATTTTTTTCATGCCCTCTCCCCTGTTTTTGCCAAAAACTCCCTGTAAAAAAAAGTCACTGAACATTCAAGTAATCTAATCTTATCAATTTTATTTTAAATAATTTTGTATTCTGTAGTTCCAGACACTGTATGCAGTGGCTGTCATTTCTATGAGGTCCATATGGATAAGGCTAACTGGGAAACGGCGAAAGCAAACTGTGAGGCAAATAATGGTCGGTTAGCTAAACTGAATACGAAAGCTATATGGAATCTGGTGCGGAGATTTATTATGGATAATGGATATAGTAACGTACTGAAAGGATTCTGGTTTGGGCTCGATGATATTATTACTGAAGGGCAATTCGTCTGGTCAGATGGAACGCCACTATTACCGGGTGATTTCACAAAGTGGGCACGAAATCAACCGTCAAGTAAACCACTGAAAGCTGCCGTTCAAGACTGCGTACAAATGTGGTTAGTGATTTTTTTTCTATTTTAGTTGCAAAAACGTCTTGTTACAAATATTTCAAATACAAACAAAACAAAATAACAACTCTACGATCAAAAAATAGATGAATAGAATTCAAGTCACTACACATGAATTGAGAACTTTATAAGTTGAATGTCGATGAAATTAATTAGTGTGTTACGGAGACGACCATAATTAATTATATATCGTAAGCTATAACAGTCAAATGACAAGCATCGTTTTGGGGTTTATGTGTTATAAAGTTCGATACCATTACAAGTGTGCTCACCGTGTTTTTATCATTCATGTTGTTTGTGTAATAGGGATAGAAGAGGATTGAAATGGGATGATGATAAGTGCGTTAAAGAGAAGGGATATATATGCGAGTACGGTGAGTTACTTTTACATGTTATTTATCTTCCATGTCTGTCGACGAATGCTATTTAATTGGATGAAAAATGAAAATAAAATAAATTATTATTGTATTTCAGATAATGCTTGCTTTGAGCCGTAAGTGAAAACGCTGACATAGTGGTAGTGGTCTTACAAATGAAGAATGGCAATACAAAATGCGCTATATAACGATATTTTAAGACAGTTTATATTGTGTTTGTTTGTTTGTTATTTGTTTATTTCATTACTCACTTATATCGATTTAGACGTACACAAAAAAAAATAAACCATGACATAGCAATCAACAGTATCTGCTTATCTGTATTCCATGAAAATCTCACATATCTAAACTTGTATTTAAGTTTGTTCAAATCTAAGTGCACGTTGACATGGTGCTAACGGATTTAAGAGATCTGGTGGGAATCCGAATATGAAAAGATATCACCATAAAACCAGACACAGCTGAAACATAACCATCCATATATTGCAAAACCAGTAAGATTGTTCAACAACTTACGGTTGAACTCAACAACCTCAATGCTATTTCCAGCTTTTGTCAAAAACACAAAAATTTTTTCGAAGTAATGTGTATTTTTATTTCAAACTTTCACGTAATCAAGATGGCAGCACCCATATACACCTTTCCGTTTGCTCTTTGTTTGACGGTATTTTGATCGATTAACTCTGTTGCTGTGTTCGTAAATGTTGTCTGCTACTTGTGACGTCGTGTTTTAGGTAATTATTGCGTGCAATGATTGTTTTTCAACCAATTTTGATACTGACTGTCTGTGTGTACATGACCATTGAATATGGCAGCCACCTGTGCCAATGACATTGTTATTTGTGAACTGGCGTGTTTTGTTGTGAATAAGTTGAGCTCTGGAATAACTCGAGCGGCGGTGGAGAAAGTTATTAAATACGGTCTTTGAGCTGGCGGGTGATCGTGTTCCATCTCGCCGTAAAGCAACACTCACCATCCGTGATGTTATTGATTGCATAGCTGACCTGTCGGTCGATACTCAGAAGAGATTTGTTGCACAGCAACTTCATCGTCTCCCTCTAATTGATATTGACTATGTCGATTATAGCAGCTTATTGAAGTTGGTCAGAGATATGCGCGAAAAATTTGATACAGTAAGCTCCAAACTAGAGGAGAACGTAGTTGTCATGGAAACCGTACCTACCACTGCTAACAAACTAGTCCCACTAGTTGTAGCTGAGAAAATTGAGTCAGTTACTCAAAGATATGTTCCCATCTGCTTTGAGCCAACACTAGCTAACATTAATGATTACTGATTAACCTTATGAATATAATTAACATTGGTAGTTATAATGTGAGAGGATTTAAATACTGCTACTATTAATACTGCTGCAATTAATAATTTACTTGAATCCTTTGTTACTACAAGGAACATTGGCTTAACAATGACAATTTGTCTAATCTTAGTTCTTTAAATAGTGAAATTATTTCAGTTGGTCTAAGTGCTATGAATAGAGCACATGGGATCCTTAATGGCAGGCCTTATTGGGGGTGTAGGGATTATCTGGCGTAAACTTCTTTGTGGAGTTACGCCAATTCTCATTGAAGGAGAGAAAAGAGTTATCGGAATACGTGTTAAGTTAGCTCACCAACCTGATATTGTAATTTGTAATGTTTACATTCCACCAGCTGCTTATATTGATGAATTTCAACGAATCCCTGGCATGTTGCATGCCACTATTAATGATTTAGATACATGTTGCTGTCTTATAGCGGGTGATTGCAATGCTGAGTCCGGGAAAGAGCAATATGCGTATTTAGAACAGTTTGTAAAGGATAATAGTTTGTTTTTTACTGATATGGAACTCCTTTCTTCCATTACTTTTACTTATCTTAGTGACTCTGGTTTAGCACACAGTTGGATTTACCGTGTTATTTGTTCTAAATCGGCTCATAGTATTATTAACAATATTACTGTTAATTATAATACTATGTCATCTGATCACTTTCATATTATGTTTTCGCTGCAGTCTGAGTTGTTGCCAAAACCGAGTACAT